CATTTTATTTATGCCCTTTTTAACAGATTGTGCAAACCTACCAAAATATACTCATTGTTTATAAAGCACGATGATATATCAAAGTAGTATAAAAGTGTCCATATATAAAAGTGCATAAAAATATTGCTATTAATAGAGAATGATTTATCTGCTGTACTTCACTTTGCATACTATATGATCTAGTCTTCTTCGATTTGGTGGTCCACTGATTAAAGGAGCAAAGAGCAAATGCCAAGGAGCTGAATCACAGAATATTGAAAAGCTTAAAACAAAACCAGACGCTACTAAAATATAGTTTCTTGGACAGAGAAAGCACTGAAAGACTGTACCTTGTGATCCCCACTGCACTGTCATATTAAGGATGGTGATAAGAACTGAAAGAGGAACAGGAGACGTGGCTTTTGCAACAATGAAAATGAGAAAGCAAATGAAATATTGAGTACTCAAGGGCATATACACCAGAGAAGAACAATGTATGGGATCCCCTGGCCTTCTAAGTGCATGGAGTTTATGGTACACTCCTTGACTTTGCTTAACTTCTCTTTTGATATGAGTTCCTGAAGTATTTTTCTACACACAAACTTTGTGAGTTCTATTTTCCACAGGCCAAATTAAAATTTAAGCAGGAATATAAGTGCTTAGAAATATTATTCACACCAGGCACTTTCTAACAAATTTTAAAAAGCATTATATATTTACATGAAAAATGAGCAATTTACACCATAAGGACAATTTCTACTGTTCTGCAAATGAGTACAGTTGCACATTATGTGGTTTGTAATGTATTAATTACAATGTTCAGCTACAAATTTCAAGCTCAAGGGAAATTTCTAAGAGGCGAATGTAAGATTTTGTTGGACTAAACTGCATTTTGGGACACAGCAGTCATGAGAACATGTTCTTAGTAAATTACATGATACAGCTGCTATAGCTGAAGTACTGCCAAGATCAAGCTGTATACTGTAAACTTTAAAGACATTATTGAAAATATATACTCACCCCAATGTACTAAAACATGGGATATGAACATCTCTTTGTTATAAAGCTCCTGGTTTACCAGCAGTAATTTTAGGCTAGATCCTGTCCCTCTCAATGACTGTCCTCATCAGTCCAAGCACTTCCAAGCAGATGAGCATTTGTGATGATGGTTCATGGCCCTGCAGTGTGCTGCAGTCCTCATTTCTGTCAAGCTGGGGCTTCTCACACTTCAATATAAACATTGCTAACAGTTACAGTGACTTCTTCAGAGTAACAGGAGAAAAATAGCCAGTTGTACTATAAGAATCCCCTGGGATACTTGTCTGCCTCAAGATGACACAAAATCATGCCTTTGACCACTTCTATCCACTGAATACAAAGAAAGTTTAGACAAGCTCAGATGCAGAAGTCTTCATGGCTGGCATCTAAAATCAGATGAACCTGTAGGTCCACTTCTAAAACCAGTAAGATTCATTGGCTTGGGTTGGCAGTGCTCTAAAATATGCCGATATACAGCAGATTTTTACCTGAAATAGCTGAGCTACATGTGAAATCTTGTAGCTCTTAGGACCTGTCACTGTAAATCTTGAGTACCTTAAGCTTGCATTGCAGCATTGCTTTTTAATAATCTTCAGTTCTCCATGACGTATAAAGTTTGTTCCAAATATTTAATATGATTCTGTTTCATCCAGAATAGTGTGAGAAAACCTTGGACAAAGCTTTCTTGATTTGGGGATTTTCTTACTGCATTTTCTTCTCTTCAGAATATCTCAAGCCTTTCTATATCTTTAGTGAAATACGTTTGGATGAACAGAAAGGAGAATGTCTAAGAGATGACAGATTCTACTCACCGTATCTTGTAATATCCAAGCTTAATACTCAGGGGAAAAAATATATAAAGGCAATACTTGAAAGCAGGTCTGGTTTAGATGTGGGAGCTGCTGCTACAGAAACTGTAAATTGCTGAGCTCAAAAAATAGACAAGATTTAAAGAAACAATTAATTAGGTAGCAAGACTATCTTGTTATCCTAATAACTGACCAAAAAAAATCTGGAAGTAATTCCTCATCAAAGTTATGTCAGTCTTGTCTTACTAGAAACCAAAAGGTAGTAATTAAAATTATGTTACCTACTGCAGATAATCTGAAACATCTAGCATCAGTCACAGTTGGTCACAGCAGACAAAATACTTGGCCTGGAGTCTAATCAATACTTGTTCCTTCTTTGAAAATTTTTTTTGTATTAGTGTTGCTAGCAAATGAAAGTCTTTTACCATATTAGTCTTCCAAGCCAGAGCAGGCAAAGGTTCCCAGTGCAATACTGATGTGTTCATACAATGCATCACAAAGGTCTTTTGAGTCTGGTACATTTAATTTTTTTAATCAGAATAATATATTTGGTATTGTGCTCATTTTAAATACTACATTGCTTGTCACACTATGTTTGTCAATAGACCTCTTCAAATATATTTAACAAATTGTTCCATGAATAATAACTACATATAAAATTTCTTCATTGAATTAAAAAAATCCATATGATTTTCTTCATGAAATACAATATATACATTATGATCTCATAGTTTTAAGGTAAGTTAAATTTTGGGCTTAAACAAATTCACAGTGTATATTTTACCTCTGTAATAAAAATCTTCACTTTTAACGTGACTGGATCTTAAACTGTGTATATGTATTTCCTTTCACTGGGTTTATGGAGAGTGAAGGTTTACCATCACCTAGCACTACAGCAGATTCAAATTGGACATTACAATGACCAAAAATAAATACTTCTGATTACCAAAAGCAAACATTGACTGTCTCTGTTACCTCAAGTTCTGACTAATATTTCCAAAGAGCTTGTCACAGGTGAAAGATGTGCCTTGAGCAGCATGGCCTCTAACACAGTCACTCAGTGGAGCTGTACTAACTGCTCACTGCTTTGGAAAATCTGGCCCAAAATACTAAAGTGAAAACTCAAAATCAGTGGCCAGTCCTGGTCAAGGAATATGGCCAGAAACAATCTAGGAGCTGAAAGGCAGTGAAGTTAATGTCACACTGCCTTCCAGCCCAAGGTCACACCAACTGCTCATACTCTACTACCTTCAAAAACCTCACTTTCCTTCTTCTACCTCAGAGGAAGAAACCTTAGAAGTTTCTAAACATTGAGTTCATTAGGCCTAAGGCCCACAGGACACAAATTGTCCCACACACTCCATTGTTGGCTAAATTAATGCACTAAGCATTCTGCCAAATGATGCAAAACACCCTCGGGGGCAGGCTGACCTTCACAGCAGCTCCTATTGCTCTCCAGGCAGGACACAGCTCCTTGCCTTCACCTATCTCCATTTGATTTCAAACCCCATGTAAATATATGGGGTTTTTCCCTGAAAATACACAGTGATTCCACCAACAATTTTTTAAAAAGGACTAACAGTAAACTCATCTGTAAACTAATCTAAACCCATTAAAAATAACTTCCAGCCTAGAAGGGAGAGGCAGAAACATTCTGATACATTCCACAATCAACAAGTTTCACCAAGCTAATTTGAAAGCAGCTACTGACAAGCCATTTTCAGCCTTGTTTCCTAAACATACAGGCCCCTTACAGGTGTGTTATACACCCCCATGTTCCTGTTAACAATTTTTCACAGTCCTTTCACTAATCTCTACCAAGCTTAAAGAGAAGCAGAGATGCCCAAAGTACTGTTGCTTATAACATTCCCAGAACCAGTAACTGTCAGAAGAGAGAAACCCAAATTACTATGTTAACTGAGGGGAAAATAATATGTAATTTATGCTGTATCTATCTGGAGACACAGAAACCAGATGACTGACCTGCATGGACAAATGAATCACACAACTAACAGCCAGACCCAGCATAGGCTACTTCATCTCCAGTTTAACAGAAAGATACAGAGGTTTTGCAGTGGGCAGGGTGAAAGTTGATGACACAGTGTGAAGATTCTTCATTGAAGAGTTCTAAAGAATATAGCATGAGAATTCAGATTTCTCCAGTGGAAAAAAGGACAAGGATGCAAATCCATAGTGCATGAGATTTCATGAATTTTTGGAACAAGATGCTTTTGTTTGCTATGGATAGATTTGAAGAAAATGTAATGATTTCAACAGGTTTAATTGTGGGGAAACATGGTCCTCCATGCATGACATTCCCAGAATTCAGAGAGAGGGTTTGCACCTACCATTTTAGTAGCTTCCACCTTAAATAAAAATGTTACATTCAAAGCCCTACCCTGCAGTTTGAGAAGTTCAGTTCAAGACACAAAAGCTGGAGAACTTCAGAATTTTGAAACAGATTAGAACTTCAAGGATTAATCATTTTGGACTAAAGAAGTTTCTCTTCTGGCCTCAGCAATAGCTTTTCAATAAGCTTGGTGAAAATGCAACCTAAGTATCTTTCAGGATAGTCCTGTGGTGACAGGAAAAAGTATAACACAGTGCTCTGAGTATCCTGATATCTACCTCTACAAGGAAATGTTCAAAAAGTATTTTAATATCCTGCTCATTTTTAACAAGGCAGTTAGCTTTTTTTTTTTTTTGCTAGTTGGGAATGCTGGAAAAATTAAATAGCTTTATATATATGTGTATATATATATATATGAAAAAGTCTGGAATCTTTGTCTTTTGCTTCACTAAAATATATGTAAGAATGTTTATGAAAGGAAATTGGCAAAAAATAAACAGTTAATGTAGGAAAAGTTTAGATCTATACTTTTAATCTTTCGTGAGTGGGCTTATCAAGATTCCACTGAAATTATAAGAGGCAAATTGGGTATTTAAATTATCTCAAATCAAGTCTTCTTCAGCAGGTAAAGAATAAATATCTACTGAAGTGATATCTCCTCCCTACTCTAGACCCAGAGGATTTGCTACTGTGTATTTTCAAGAAAGAACTGAAATTATTTAATTTCTGAATCTTTTGTAGGAATGTGAGCCAGACTTGAGAAAAACAGAAATATGGCTTTAAGTGAATTGTTAACGTTCTGTTGCATCTCTTAAACATTTTGATTATCTCTTGTTTTCTTCTTCCTTAGTGTCAATTGACAGTTTTTCCCCAAGTTTTCTTATAAGTTCTGCCAGATCTTCAGAATTTTGAGATTTTTCCTCGAGAAGTTCATACCGGAGACTTGAGATGTCCTGCTTAATTTCCTTCAGTTCACCTATAACAGATGTTAAAAGATCACACTATTAAGAAACAAAAGAAAAACACAGTATATCAAAATATCTCATAATTATCACAGGTTTACTCTGTATTTCTTGGCTGAAACAGAAAAAGCAGATGTTCTTCTGCCCATTAGTGAATGGTGGCTTAAGGATAGGAATATGAAGATGCAGTTCAGGAAGCAAGCAAATCTGAAGGCAAAAGTGTGAGAGACCACATCAGTTCACAAAACCTGAGTGATCTATTAGATGGAAGCTGCTATTCTGCTGCAAGAGATCACAGAATCATAGAATCCCAGAACCATTTGGGCTGGAAAAAATCTTTGAGCTCACCAAGTCCAACCATTAACCCAGCACTGCCAAGCCCACCACTAAACCATGTCCCTAAGCACCATGTCTACATGTCTTTTAAATACCTTCAGGGACGGCAACTCAACCACTCCATGTCTTTTAAATACCTTCAGGGATGGCAACTCAACCACTTCCCTAGACAACCTGTTACAGTGCTTCACAATCCTTTCTATAAAGAAGTATTTCCAACCTAGACTTGAGGCCATTTCCTCTTGTCCTGTCACTTGCCACTTGGGAAAAGAGACTGACCACCACCTGACTACAACCTCCTTTCAGGTAGATGTAGGGAGCAATAAGGTGTCCTCTGAGCCTCCTTTTCTCCAGGCTAAACAACCACAGCTCCCTCAGCTGCTCCCCATAAGACTTGTGCGCTAACCTCTTCTTCACCCTCATTGCCCTTCTCTGGACACACTCCAGCACCTCAATGTCTTTCTTGCAGTGAGGGGCCCAGAACTGAACACAGAATTTGAGGTGTGGCCTCACTGGTGCTGAAGACAGAGGTTGATCACTTCCCTAGTCCTCCTGGATCACACTACTGCTGATACAAGCTAGAATGTCATTGGCCTTCTCGGCCACATGGGCCCACTGCTGGCTCATGTTCAGCTACTGTCAACAAACACCCCCAGGTCGTCTTCCACAGATCATGAAGATTGGGGCTGCCTCAGTCCTCTTGGCCAGCAACAAGGCTTCTCACTGTACAACAGAGTGCAGTCCTCTCCTTCTCCTGCTGCACTGTGTGTCTTTCTTGCATCAGAGAGGTGCAAACAGATGACATTCCTGTGAAATGCAGTCACTAGCTGTTTCCAGGTAATAAATCGCACTCAAAAAGAGATGAAGCATGTGTATCCCCACATATGAATCCATGACAGGAACACACATCCACACAAGGGAGAATTCATATGGGAGTGCCCCAAACCAGCTGTTTCATTAAACACAGCCTCACCATGGGAAATGCATAGGCACTATAGCAGCCTTCCAGTACCAAGAGTCAAGAGAGAGAGAGCTGGAGAGAGCTAGAGAGGGACTTTTTACAAGGGCGTGTAGTGATAGGACAAGAGGGAATGGCTTCAAATGGAAAGAGGGTACTTTTAGATTAGATATTATGAAGAAATTCTTTCCTGTAAGGTTGGTGAGGCACTAGAACAGGTTGCCTAGAGAAGCTGTGGATAGCTCATCCCTGGAAGTGTTCAAGGTCAGGTTGGATGGGGTTTTGAGCAACCTTGTCTAGTGGAAGGTGCCCCTGTCCATGGCAAGAAGGTTGGAATCACACGATCCTTAAGGAAATAAATAATCCTTAAGGTTCCTTCCAACCCAAACCATTCTATGATTCTATTACTAGAAGTAGCAACGCTTTTCACAATTTGTCAGGTCAGTGATAGTTTCTGATTGGAGAGAAGAGACACAAATCCCATCCCTCCTTCAACTTCAATTTCATACTAATTTTACATCTTGCACTTGTAAACATGTCAAGTGGATTAAGTATTTTGGAAACATTTTTTTCGAGTGGCATATATAACCACTTCAGTTTGTTTTGATTCTCTGATTAAACAAATAATTCAGCAACATACTTACCTTCATTGACTTCGTCACTTTCCTTATCTATCTGAGCTTTCAATACATATCTTTTAATGAGACGCTTCATTATTTTCTGCAGAGAAGAAAGAAAAAAGTTTTCTCAGTTGGACTTTCTAGTATTGTAATGACATCTCAAAATATGAGCTCTTGCCCTGGTTTTGGCTGGGATAGAGTTAATTTTCTTCTTAGCAGCTGTTACAGTGTGAGTTTTGGGTTTAGTGTAAGAATAAGGTTGATAACACTGATGTTTCAGTTGCTGCTGAGCAGAGCTTACGCTAAGCCAAGGACCTTTCAGTGCCTTGTGCTCTGCCAGTGAGGAGGTGCACAAGAAGCTGGGAGGGAGCATGGCCAGGAAAGTTGACCCAAACTGGCCAAAGGGATATTCCATACCACAGAACATCTTGCTCAGTATACAGACTGGGAGGAGGGTTGCCCTTGAAGGACTGACTGCTGCTGCTCGATGGGCAGGGCATCAGTCAGAGGGCAGTGAGCAATTGGATTGTGCATCACTTATTTCTCTTGGGTTTTGCTCCTCTCTCTCCTTTTCATCACTACTACTGCTATTATTATTACTATTGAGGAATACATCTGGTGCAGGTTGCTCGGTCTGCAAACTGCAGTTCAAGATGCAAACTGAGCTCTGAGTGGGAGCCCAGAGAGACAAGAGGCTGTGAACTGCCAACCTTTACATAACAAAAGACAAGTGACACCAGCAAGATTGATGGACACCGAGAGACACAGCAGGAGCAGAAGTCTTGGGAGGAAGATGTAGGCTTGCACTTGGCTAGACTGTGAGGTTATAAAGCCCAGGGATTCCTCTGTTGGGGGTTCTCCTCCTAGCTCGAGCTGTTCCTGTGTTACTGCGCTGTGAATAAATGCCTTTGTGGAACTAGACATTTCAGATTCTGCCATGGGAAACCTGGGGTCGAACTGGTAAGGCAACTTGGTCTGACTGTGTGAGTGGGGTGTGTAGTGAGTCAAGCAGGGCTCCCATCGGCTCACTGGAGGTGCCTGCTGTGAAGTAGCATCGGTTCCAGCAGTTAAAGCCTCTGGATTGGGAGTGTGACTGCCAGAGACTCTCATGAATGGTCAGACTGGGAAGTTTCCTTAACAACTATTATTATTATATTTTACTTTCTTTAAATTAGTAAAGTGTTCTTATCTCAACCCACAAGTTTTACTGTTGTTGATTTGCCTCCTCATCCCACTGGGGTTGGGGAGGGCGCAGTGTGGGGAGAGCAAGTGAGCAACTGTGTGGTACTTAGTTGACAGCAAGGGTTAAATTATGACAGCTCTGTTGCCTTCTGTTGCATTAAGACATTTCAGTGTAGGAATAGAATGTAAAAACACCTGCTTTCCTCTACAGTAGATAGCTAAACTTTTATTATTTTTCATATATATGCACTTGAAATTTAGAAAACTAAATATATCTGACAAATGTCATAATTTGCAAAACTTATCTTACTACTGGAATTTATGAAAAGTATTAATACAGTTCCAGCTTTGATCTCCATGTAGGTGAAACCATCTGGCCTTTATTGCTACCAAAAGGTGACAATGACCCTGCTTAGCAGTGCTAATTGCTAAACCCTTTTGTCATCTGTTTATTTGAATCTATTCTGATATTATATTTGATAAGTTATGTTTTTCCAGTGTGGGGCTCAGAAAAAGCGGGACCCACAATTCTAAGACACATATAAGTATCTCAGGTGGGACTCATTTAACTAAATGCAGATACTTTCTAATATAAATATACATATCTGTCACTTTTAATTCCCTCTACGGATAGAAAGAGCAAACCTGAGAGCACAGTTAATCTCAGACAACTAAAATTGATCAAACAGATCACAACACTGGAATGACTAACCTGCTGCTAATAATAAGGGGAACCTAGGCCAGCAAATTTATTTATTCTTCCATGAAAAACTGATTCCACCCCTGATTCTCCCATTAGTTCAAATTACTTGAGAAAGAACAAGGTATCTAATTACCTTTCAGAATCTATATTTCTGTCTTTGGGTTAAAATATTTTTCATATGGTGTAGCCTACAAAACAATACTATTTGTTTTCCACTATAAGATATAAAACATGCATAGATTTATATGTCTGCTTCTGTCTCTAGAATAACAGGCCTGACCAGAGCTGGTTGTGAAGTGAGTCATCCCAGATTAGTGGTTCCAGACCCTCACTACAGTCATGCTTGCAAGGTCAGCAGCTGTATTGTTTATTCTAGTAACCCAAGAATGTTTCAAATACAAAGCCACACATCCTCATGTTTGTGGGGTAATTTTTAAATCTTAATATCTGTCACTGTATAATAATGAAATTGGCTGTGAAAAAGTCATGAAGTTTTTGAAACACACTGCATAACGTAAGCATGGAACAGAGCTAGCCAGCCCAAGGGGAAAAACATTTTTTCTGTCTTATGGTCAATAAAGTACACTTCTTTCTATATACTTTTACATTCAGATTGTCTTGTTCTATTGCCCAGGCAGCTCCTGCTTCTTGCTTTCCACCTGCTTTGCAGGATTACAGGAAAGAGAGAAGCAGTCTCTGGACCAGAGTAGCTGAGATTTATGTGGACTGTGCTAGGTCTCTTTATACTTAACTGCACAAAGCCTCACTGCAGTTGTTTAAGAGGCAAAGAAAAATGAGACTGTATTGGTTGCATAACAGCTGAAAGATATTTGCAATGCTCGAGGTATTAGTATACAAAGGTGTGGCACAATAAGCCGAGCTGCTTCAGCAGAAGGAATTAGAAGATTTTGGTTTTCTTTTTGGTTTTCTTAATTCCCATTGTGCAGTTGGGGACTCAACCTGTCTCTAAAATTAAAAACATTTTCTCAAGCACTTTAAAATATAAGGGTGGCATTTAAGAAACAAAGAGGAGAGAAAAACACCCTCATATTGTACTGTACATACCTAATCACTGCATTTATTTCTGATATATACAAGGTCTGTGGATTTATTCTTGACACTGTTGAGCTTGAATTCAAAGCTATCCTCATGACATCTGTCTGCCAGTTCTATTACTTCTTGATTTTATTTAAAAATCAGCTTTTTTTTTACCTGGTATTGTCTTGGAGGATTGTTTAAACTGTTTAAGTGGATTTCATCTGAGCTTCTTATACTTGACTGCTTCCTTTGACCAAGCTGAAATGGAAACATTATTTATAGTACAAAATAATTAGAAGAATAATATACATCTATCTTGTATATATCACACATATATCATATGACAGAACATTAACTTAATCTCAATTTGGGAAGTGTTGAACTACTGTGGTAAAGTCCCCATACCTGTACAGAACTTCATGACAAGAGTTGAAACAAACCCTTTCAGACTGTGCCATAGCAAAGTGAGAACTGGGAGGTTTTCTCCCTTTACTCTGCCTCTCACCTGCTCCTAACACGCCCAGGGGACCAAGGCAGACCAGCCACATCCTTGTAGGCTTTCCCTTGCTCCTCTGGTGCACAGGACAGGGAATCCACGTCAGGAGGAAGACAGTACTGGTGTGGCACAGGTAGTGGGACAAGCCGAAGAAAGAAGTGTGATAGCACTATCCCTTTCCTTTCTTTCATAACGCTTGCCTGTAACTAATGTGACATTCACTACCACAAAATACACAAGAAGTTTGCTTCTGCCCTCACTTGCATGGCTGAATGTAATTGGTTATGCAGTTCCTGGGACTACAAGATTACCAGATGACATTTTTGAGTTGCATCTTCTTTACTACACCTGCTGAAAGGGCACCACACCCCGATCTAACACTGAGAATGCAACTTGTAGGCTTTGTTACTGATATACATCTTTGAGAAGGACTAAAGCATCACAAAATTGTAAACTGGGACTCAATCTGAATGACTGGGCTGCAGTAAGAGTGAACAACAATTGTCAAAACAAGTGTTATTACTTTAGATAGATAATGGGGCCAGGGCAACAAGTAGTACTGAAAAAAAAAGTGAACTATCAATCATGATTGATCTTGATGAGGAATAAGTGGGAATGTCACCAGAAAGTCAGTTCTCTGAATTTATACATGGTCCAATAAAATTTTTACTGTTTTAAAGGACCAGGCTACCATTGCAGTGTCTCAGATCCTGTGGGATTGTGTTGTACTTCCAGTGAAGTTCTCCATGTTGTTGATGTCTTAATTCATCGAGTACCTACAGATAAGAAAACTGGGACATTCTGAAACTTGTTAAATACTATGTGAGATAAGCTGGGATGTAATTTGTTGTGGAGGAATGCAAGGGAAGGTTAGATGATTATGCAGCTGTACACTGGGAATAATTTAAATACTTTTAGGTTTTGTTTCACATTTCATAGAATCATAGAACAGTTTGTGTTGGAAGGGACCTTTAAAGAAGATGTAGTTTAACCCCTCTGCCATGGGCAAGGACACCTTCCACTACATCAGTTTTGTATTTTTATATTTTTCCAGAAGAAAAATTTACACCTATTAGCAAAATATATTCATTTGCAAATATTATAAAGTTTACACTGAACTTGGAATTATTTTTTTTGTTCTTTAGAAAGATTAACAAATATATATAAACATGCTTTATAACAATATTATCTATCTATTCAGACTATATTTATTTGACGAAGCAAAATAATGACAGAAGATATACAATAATATATATATAAACACTATATATTTCTTACATATTAATCTACATTTAGATGGAAATTAAAGTGAAGATGTATAAAAAGGACAAGTTATTGTTGCATTTTTCTAGCTCGAATAAGGCTACTTTAAAAGTTTTGAATATATATATTAGATAACATAAGTGTATCTAAATGTTTTAACTTAAACTATGTATGTGGTTTATAATAAAATATAATGACTAATGAGCTAACACAATTGTGTAATCACTATATCTTTCAGGATTTTTGAACTAAGAATGCTTTCTTGGGTCTCATTTTTGCTACTAGGTTAAAAGTGAAAAACAATCTTCCTGCTTTTTGAACTCCTGGATTTCTCATGAACCATATTTGGAAATAATGTAGTAGAAAAAGAGGAAAAGCATGATTCCTCTGCAGAGGCAGAGGCAGAGGGAATTCTCCTTGGGTAAAACTGCTCGAGGCCATGAGCTTAGGCTCAGTTGTCTGGCTATTGTCCCAGCACTTTTGTATCTCTGACTTTGCACCTGTGATACTATTCGTGATCCTATTACTTACAAGTTTATATATAATAAAAAAATTAATTAATTTTCCTTATGGATTTTTTAGTATTTACTATGTATTTTATTGTGTATTTTAAAAGTAAACTGTCATGCTGGTTGCCAGTTTCGAATTTATGTTACATTGGTTCACTTCAAAACTTCATGTAATGCTTAACTACAACTTGATTTTCACTTGAAATAGTTAAATTGGTAATATGTGGCAAAATGAGTGGAGACACTGCACAGGCACACTGTAACTTTATCTGAACTTTTACTCTTCATCACCTTTTTGAACAGAATAATGTACTTTTAATTAGTTACGGAGTGCACCTGGAAAGTTGGCAGGTAATTCAGAAGTGTGTAACTTCATTAAATCTGTGTATGTGTAAGAGTCATAGACAGAACCTCTATTGTATGTTGCTGAATGACCACTTGGTGGCAGAGATCGCCAAGATTTCATTAAAATGTCAAATAACATTTAAAACTCTCTTTAAGCTTCATGCCTATGGCTTTTTTCTCTCCAAAAAAATTACTACTAGGGTATACTCAGCCATCACACTGATGACTGAGCTAGAATTCATATTTTTGAGTTGACATCTATTGTACATCAGCACATGAGTAACCAGAGGGGAAATAATGTATAACAAATAAAATAATGATATAAACCCCCCAAAATAACTCTTCTCCGAGAGTGTGGTGTGAAAGCAGCATACATGGATCACTGCTCTTAGAAAACACCTTTGTCTTTATCTCTCTTCTCATTTTATCATTCTCTAGTATTACTTAAAATTCAATCCAATCAGAATAGTAATGTAATCCGTGTAGCTGTGTTGTGTAGCACTTTGTTCATGTCTTAAATCCCAGTTTCCAGAAGCAGCTGATGACTTGGAATGTCACAAAACTGTACATGCTTGGACCAGAAAGGAGCGTTCCCAAAAAATGACTCAGTTTGTGCTCCCATAAGCAGAGGTCATGTGTGAATATTTCAGAAACATTATTTTATACTAGGAAAATAAAAGCTAACATATTTAAATTTAAAAGGTTTAAATACATCATCTGCCACTATAGGTTTTTAGCTCAGGAAGATGAACAAGTTCTGTGACTCTTAAACAATATATTTTCTCATTCACAACGCAGTTTTAAAACTGAGAATAAAAATCAAAGTAGTTGTCTTTAAAACTTTTTTCTTTATTTGTTTCACCTCTTTTTTTGCCTCCTGTTCACTTGATGTTTAAAACTCTAATTCTAGCCTGAAACAGAAGTCTATGGGTTTTAATCAACAGCCTGAAAGAAAACATCTCCACAGCCTTTAATATTATATGTAAATAAGTCTCAAGAAATTAAATTCTGGTGTGCTACACTTTGAACACAGCTATGTAAATCACTTGCTGTTTAGCACAGACAGCATCTGCCTTTGTTTTCTGCCAACAATCATCAGAGCAGAGCAGGCTCTAGAGGCAGAATTTGCCCCTTTCCCATCTGAATTCTTATCTTAGCACTCACCCTGGTGCTGCAGCTGCTTTTGCACTGAGAAGATGCAGGACCTGCAGCACAAAGACCCACAGGCTGGGTTTGAAGCAGTAAACTCATTTTTGGGCACTGCAATGCAATGTCTTCTATCAGTAAACTTTTAGAGTCTTTCCAGGTATGACTTGTACCAGAGCAACCTTCCCTCTTCCTAGGCACAGTTTGGCAACTGGAATCATCTAGAGACAAGAGCTTGCAGCAATTCTACTCTGCAAGGAAACTACTTGAATAGGGGCAAGCCATTCCTGAATTGGCCTCAGTGTCCAGATAAACTTCCTGTCACATTTTACTAGCACAAACACAGCAGCCAAGTCTTGGGTCTTGGATCTGATCTTACCAAATCTTTTCTTATCTTTGCACACTTCAGTGCATTCATAGTAGCTCCTTGCTCAGCAGACACCTCAGCACCAACCTGCTCAGCACAGAATAAGTCCAAAGACAAAACTCAAAAAGCCTGAGAATGTCTTTGAGAAGATGCCATAAAATAGCCTCAACAATAATGAATCATCAACAGTGTGTCAAAAAGGGACACAAAACCACTTTAGCTGCTTTTTAGAAGTGCAAAGGATGGTGGCATCTAACAGGTTCAGGTAAAGTCAGCTCCACAGCATGTAGCAGTCCAAAAGGTAAGTAAACATATAATCATCTGGGTATATCAGTCACCCTGATGCCAAAGCTGAGGAATGAATAGATGCAACTCAGATGCTTTATGATTTTCAACGTAAAAGTTTGGGTTTTTTCAAATTGATTTGTAGTTTTATAGTTGCTTTGGCTGGGGAGGAAGCACATTTCATCTAGGATTAGTGATACCACAATCTGCAGTGAGTGTAAAGCATTAATATTTGAAGACTAAATATTAATTCATAGTTAGGAAAAAATCTGATAAATGATGTTTGCATGCTTACAGCTCTCTTTCAAAGGGACTGCTGTAAAAGGAGACATAACTGTTACTGTTTTATCTAGGAGTGGCAATTATTACACTCTGCACCTTTCTAACAAACTGAATTGCTATGTTTGAATATAGGTTTGGAAAGGAATGATAAAATACAGCTTCCTTCCTTAGGGTATTTAAATGCAGTTTTAAGAGTACCTGTTTTATGGAAACATAAATTTCATTTTAACAAGTCATTAAAAACAAGCTTCTAACTTATGTGCTTTTCAAAGTAACAAATTAAGTGAATTAGAAAAAGAACCATTTATTTTTTCTCACCATCAATCAATTTTAAGTTTATATGCATCTTCTTAAATGCATGATTTTTAAGTGATGGCTTTATCACTCACAGAGGTTATGAAATTGAGTTGCATCAAGCAGCTTGATGAAAGGTTTTGCAAATGTCAGTCATTAAAAGCAGAAGCAAATGCAGTATCACCTCTGTTGGGTCTTAAATACATTGGGATTAAATTTCATAAACAAAATGAAGTGAGATCTGTGAAAGTCTAGAAAAATTACTGGTAGTATACATGACACATTTGAAGTGAATAACAATTTTGACTTTGGGGACAGTGTTTGCAATACCTGTGCTTGTTTTCATAGACTATTATTAACTTAACCAGAGGCAGAGGCTTGTCAGAGGCACAGTATTTTTCCCTGTAACTCCATTTTTTCATTCTAGGAGTGCAACCAGTTTTTCTCTTTTATGCTTCAACTGATTACTCTGATGGAAAATGTGCTTGTTACATTGATGGCAGAAAACTGACAGATGCATGTAAATTCTTTGCTGGCCCCCAGTCTAATGACTACTGACTTTTGACTACAGTCTCAAGAACTCTAACCTTGAACAAGCCTCTGCTCAGTCCACCACCTATTTTAATAAAGATCCTTTCAAATTAAAATTTCCATAGAAGACAAATTTGTTTCTGCCCCCATGACAAATCTTAAATTTCTTTTTTTTTGGTGTATGGACCGTTATGCTCACCTTTCTACTCTCTACACCTGATCAGATGTCTTGGAAGGCTCTTCTTCCCTAACATGTTACAATAGTGCTAGTCTTTACACTTCCAATACCACCTAACATTCCATATTCTCCTAAAGCAATTAACTTGATTTATACCAAGATATTTCAGGGACAATACACTTACTACAAACTCTTTAAGCAAGCCCAGTGAATCAACTCAAATGCTTTTTACTGAACTTGTGTAAATAAATCAGATAACAATGATTTACAATAATAGCAGGCTGTATTTTCAGTGGAAGCAGAGACAGGCTACCAAGGTAGAATGTAGAAACTGCCCCAGGCATGTGAGGGTGGTATTAGCAAAGAAAAAGCTTGTCTTAAGCTGTTATTTGCAAGGGCAGTACAAACTTCTGCTACAATAGCAATGTAAGGCTGAACAAGGAAAATATGTGCCTGTTGCTCAGTGGGGACGGGGAGTTAGTGACAGTGGACAAAGGTAAGACCGAGGGACTTCTTTGCTTCAGGTTTCATCAACAGTCTGTCAGGCCTCTGTGTTTAGTAAAGGCATTTGAGGAGAAGAAAATGGTTGAATATGGAGGTGAGTCAATCAGGGTGTACTTAAGAGAATCTGAGCCAGCAAGTCCCTTGAACCCAATAGGCTGGAACCATAGGTGCTGAGAGAGCAGATGAACCCTTTGCAAATATGTTACCGTCTGTGGAAGACCATGGATATTTGGAGAGGTCCCCAAAGGCTGGAGAAAGACAAATGTCAAACTCATCTTCAAAAAAGATCAAAATTATGATCTGGGCAACCATGGGGCACTCAACCACCCTTCAGTTACTGGCACAATAATGGAATTAATAATGCATCCTCTTGGGACGTGTGGAAGAACAGATGGTGACAGGAAAAGGAAGATGTGAACTTATGAAAAGTAAAATCTGTCTGACCATTTGGATGGCATTCTGAGATAAAATTACTGGATTTGCAGATAAGGGGAGAGCTGGACACATTAGTAACTGACTTCAGTATGGACTAAGTATGCTGGGAAATTCATTAGTGAAACAGGGCAACAACAAAAATGGAGTTAAAATTGGTTTTATCTTTTAAAATTAGCAGTCAGTACACACAGGGTAAAGTTACCTTGTCCATCTCTGCATCTTCCTGAAAGTTCTTCTTTTGGCACAGAAATGGTTTAGAAATACATTTTTTGATTCTGAGTAGGAGATACAGCAAAGATTTTGGGCTTGGCACTAAGTTGAAGGGTACTGGAAGAGTTCTCCCTTCTTCAAAGTAAGAAAACCAAAGTTTAGCCCTTGCAAATTTCCATTCTACATCAGCATCATCCTGTAAAACAGAAATAACAGCTGTTAATACACTGTTAATACCACTTTGAGTATTGAAGATGCTCTAGCTAAACTTTATATGTGTTTTGAATGCAATTGGCTGAAGTTAATCTAAAACAGATCAAGAACTTGTTTATGATTTGTGAAACCCAGGTTTCAATGAATGGAATTGTTCTTATTAATCCATTTAAAACAATGCAATTGCAGAACAGAATGGACTTAACTGATACATTGCTTACTCCAGAGTGAGTGCTAATAGTCTGCAATACAGGATCAGAATGACAGAGTCTGTCACTCTATTACTTTAAACAAGAAGTTAAAAAAGATTAGGTGATTCTTACCTAATTCCTTCCACTTGCTGGAATAAGATTAAACCAGGTATACTATCATCACCATGGTTTATGTTTAACATTTATGAACACCAAAACACTCACTTGATTCCTCCCTGTAAAGTTTAAGAGGGTTTGCTGCAGGAAGAACTGACATCATGTTCAAGGACATGACACAATATTGCAGTAGCTGTTTTTAGAAGCAGTTTGTTTCCAATCACTGTATTTTTGGATAATAGACTGCTTTTTATTGCTCTGAACCTGATAGGTTTGCTCTGTAGCCTCCTGAGCCAAAAATGTGAACCTTCCTAGAAAACATGTTGCTTTTTCTCAAGCCAGACAATGCTATGGCCCCAAATCAGAGCTCAGAACCTGGGATCAGAGTGGTGTCAAACCTGAGTCTGCTGCTTTGTGGCAGGGGTGTCACCTGGGAAGGGCTGGATTGGCCTAGCTTCCTTTTATTAAAAATTATGATAATGATTTAGCTCGTTGTTATCCATGGCATGGAAAAGTTCATATTGATTTACAGCAGCCCTGCTGGTTACTTTGTCAAATGAAGCTTTGTTCACTGCAGAGGACTATAGCAAGTTATTTTAAATGAAAGAATAAAACAGCATATTAGAGATTTGCTTGCAAGGTCAAGGCATAGGAACGAGAACATCCTTGCAGCAAAATTCAAATAATTACAAATGAGAGATTCACAAAGTCACACCACATAGCCAATCCCCTTCGGGAACATAAGCATTCAGCAGCAGTTTCTTAGTCCAGTATTGTTCTTACTATTGCAAGCATGTGCAGCCAGGTAATTTCCAGGTATTTTACAATAAAAATGTATAGTGGAATTAATATTTTCTCCTAATATATTGCAAAAAGCCTACGTGCTACTTTTCTAAAATAAGATGTCCACAAGAAAACTTTCCAGGAGATTTAGACAATTAATTGTAACAGTAGATGTGGTGCTATTTCACCATAAATGGTATTTTTACCTCAATTTCCTGGAATGAACTGTTGATCATTGCAATAAGCATGTTCAGTAAGACGATAACCATGGTAACATTATAGACTCCATAAAGGACATAACCAATATTTTCAATAAATTTGTGTTTATAATTGATGACAACTGATTTAACTTCTGAGAGTCCAAATATAGCCCAGAACAATGTCTTGAAACTTTCTTCAACACTAAAAGGAGAAATTGAACACATGCATGTGTTACTGAAGCAAAGCTGTATATTCTATAATTTGCCAGTTACCATTTTTATACAGTGTACAAATTTTTCCATTATTTTAATGTACAACTCTACCACAGTGCATGAGAGGTAGACTTTCTAATTTCATGGGTAAAGGCTGTTTCATAGTACAAGACTCTAAGTACATAGGACTGGCAGTAAAACTATCTGATTCAGTTTAGGAATTATATACACATCCTCAAAAGAATATTACAATAATTCACTTATTAACTACTTTAATATAAATTCTACAAGCTTGCTGGTAAAGTGACCAAAAATAAAAAATAACTAACCTGCAAATATTTTATTGTACCATTACTTCACTTAGTGTAAATTGTTTCACCATTAATATGACAAACATTCTGAAACTGTGAGGAAGATAGGTCATCTGACCACAAATCATCAGTTCTCAAAAGAATCAGTCTCACAGACTGTAATTCTCTAGTTGAGTTTTTACTATTCCACAGTTCCAGTGTAAAGCTGTGGTACGGGGATACTGATTTTTTTAATTGGATTAGCTCACTTAAATACATGCAATTCCTCTTAATCAGTTTATGTATATCTGTAAACACAAGTCCAAACCTCTGAGATACCTTTTCCTGTCTATCTCTGTTTGAAGACATCTTTTCTCTTGCTTTGACAAAGAGTTCCCCATGTCCAAAAATGTAGTAGCATTGCAAAGCACATTTTGGATTTTATTGCATCATTGTTAAGAAAAAAAAAAGTTGCAGTTTAATCTGTTGTACTTACGTTGTAAATGCTTCATTTTGTTTTGCACCCAGATAGTAGGAATAGAGATTAAACATGCCGATCATGAAAGCCACAAACACCATGATAAATATCACCATGAACTTAAAGATGTCTTTCACAGTTCTTCCAAGTGATATCTGCAGTGGTCCAAAGCTTTCATTAGCTGGTAAGATGTAGGCTATTCGTGAGAAGCTTAACACTACTGCAATTGCATATAGCCCTTCAGATATGATTTGAGGATCGGATGGATCCCAGTTTATTCTGGCTAGAAACAAAAGATGAGAATTTCTGTCAGTATTTCAAGGTAACTGTACACATCTATGGGAGGGCTTTTTGGAACAGCAGTTGGAGATGAGGGAATAAAACCTGGGTAACTCAAACAGTACTAGTCACTTATGTTTAGCCAACTCAATTGAGCCAGGTAACACTAAAACCTTTTCACAGTTGCCCCAACTGTATTTATCAGATTGTCATTGATTATAAAGGTAGGTTCTAAGATCACTGAGGTAACTTTTTGAGAGTTGAATCCCAGCCTATTAGAGAACTTAAGTAAAATCAGCTTACAGTGTCAGGTAATGAAAACTGAATAAATTAAATTAGAAATGTGATTTGTTTGAGCTACCCAGAATGAACTGTTTTGATGTGGGGATCTGTATTCATTTAATGCCATTCACAACTCCAAAACTGTGGGAACAATAATATTTCTATATTTTTTCTACTTTACTCTTTTACTCATAGTGAAATGGTAATGGCCCTTTCCAGGCAAACACCAAACATCCATTGCTATCACCTTTTCTACGATCAATCTCTATCAGCCTCTTTTGTTGAAGCTAATCTACTTCTGTGAATTACCTGAATGTCCTCTCGATCAATTAGTGAATGTGACACTGCTGTTTGATAGGAAACACATTCAACTGCAGAGAAGAACATTCAAGGTCAAACACAGAGAAATATTTACAGAAAAGTGTCAGAAAAAGCAATACCCTCAGAATACTTCCTTGCTACAGATTAAGGCGTTCTTTGATGACATGGGAAGCTTACATTCATTCACTATTGTGCTTCAGGCAAAGAGAAGAAGTTAACCTGGAATAGGTCACCTGCATCCCATGTAAGTGTTGTTATCTGTATCTACTTGACAGTAAAGGCCTTTCTCTCCAATCTGCCCATGTCACTATTGTAATGAGGAGCCCAAACTGGAAAGATCACTCCAGCTGTGGTCTCACCAGTGCTGAACAGAAAGGCAGGATCACCTCCCTCCCCCACTGTCAATGCTGTGCCCAGTGCAGCCCAGGATACCACTGACCTTCTTTGCCAAAAGGGCCCATTGCTGGCTCATGTTCAACTTGGTGTCCATCAATTTATGTTTGCTACCCCATGAAAAAAACTGTTGCACTAAATAGTCATTATTAATATTATCCATGTTAGCACTACCACTCTCAGATGTTCTCCAAGCAGACTTCAGTGTACATGCATACATTAAAAAATGGCTCAACTCTGCTAAATGTGCATAAACAAGTCAAAACTCATGAGTCATGCCAATGGAAACTGCCTTGCTAGATGAAACAGTATTGTACAACATAAACGAGTTACAAGATTTGTTCTTGTCATACAGAAACTGTGAACATACACAACAGTCTTTGTTTGCATATTCTTCAAGTGTGTGTTTCTGAAAACTGAATTAAAATTTAACTAGTTGTTTTTAGGACTTATGTGAAATTTGCAGCTTTCCAGTAAAATTGGCAAGAGTACAATTTAACATGTTTCAGAATATATATATTAATTGCTCTGCTTTTCTAGAGCCTGGATAATGCAGAAATTCAACCTCATCAGAAATAGCATCTGAAGAATGGAATAGAGCTAGAAACTGATAAAATTCAGTCTCTAGAGAAAGTATCTAGTAACAAGAGGAAAGATGTGGTGGTGTTGAGTGGACACAAGTCAACAGAGCTGCTTTTTTTTTTTCATTTGGGCAAAATAGCTTCTAGTCACTTTTCATATATACCAAATAAGTTCATTAACATTTTTGTCTCTTACTGGCAAAGAGAGTGGATTGAGAAATATTAAAGTAATATAATATGAGTCTCTGAGTAAATAAGAAATAAAAGATATATCGGTTATGTTGGCAAAGCATATTTAAGAAGTTCCTGCTTCTCATTGCTTAGTTCTTTCCCTGCATTACAGTGCATTCCATTCACAGCTGCACTGACACAGACAGGTTTGCAGGACAGTATTGTGTAATTGAACACAGTAATAAAAGAGTAGGGTGACAGTGAGGTTATTTTGATTTTAGACCATTTCAGTGCCTGCTACCTAGAACAGTCCCCAAAGAGATATATGAGCATATCCAAGGGAACTGTGAACAAATAGTAGGGATGAGGAGAAGAATTTGGAATTTCTTGAGTAGTACATCGTGGCACTACAGTCTTGGAGAATTATTAACAGAAAATCAGTTCATCTTGGCCCAAGAAGTAAATCTTAATCATGTGCAATTTACTCACCCAAGGTGTAGTATTTTATGTTGGGATCCAGTGTTGGACTTGTCAAATCTTTCATATTTGCATCAACGAAGTTCTGGGCTCTGGATGCATGCCAAAATGCCATAAACCTCGCTATGAATGATGCTGCAAAAATTGCTAACATACCAAAATCAAGCATATTCCACAACTCAAAAAGGTATTCCTTTGGACCTTGAGACCAAATTTCTTTACACTCAGACCATATCATGCCTGTATAAGACAGAAGAGAGAAAACAGCATGTTCTTTTACCTTCGAACTTGATTTATTTTATATTTTACTATACCTAGGACGTGCTCCTGGTTGCAGCCAAACTCAAAACAATTTTAATCAGTTGGAGTTTGAACACAAAATAAAATCCTTGTACCTGCCAATTCGTATACATTCCAAGACTTCTTTCTCATGTGAGTAATAATAACAATCTTTCAGACTGCTCTTTCCTGCACAACTACATAAGCTTTCAAAGAGAACAATGAGATGTGAGTATCACCATCTGTTACAGAGACAGGAAGAAATGGAAAGAGCTGAAATGCTCTGGCATGATCATATAACAGTGGTAGAGCTAACAGCAGAACTCATTTTCTTATTTGCAGAGTAACCCTAGGCATAGTCTCTCTTACTGAAATTGAAAATATATGTGACAAATGAGAATGAAGGTAAGACTCAGAGCTAATATAGGACAAAGGTATCTTTTGATTCCTAATTGTTCTCCCTTATTAATAAAATATAAAAGTACAGTATTAGTTTATGACATGTCTTTTATTGAGCAAATCCTTTTTCTTTTCAGGATAAAAATTATATAATTATGAACTATGATTCTAGGACTCTGAAGAGAGTTAATAAAAAGCTGAATGGACTAATGTCACTAGTTTTTGCACTTATCAAATTGTCTGAAGGAACTTTTTGTCATTTTCAGGTAAGGAAAAATAATAATGTCAATTACAGTAACTAAGTTCAATATTACATCTGTATGCACTGAATGATTTTTTCATAAACCGTATTATGCACAATATTGAAATAAATTAAAATAGATGAAATTAGAGAACTAGAACTTCAAGCTGAGAAATTATTATTTATTCCTTTATTATCAGATTAAAATATTGATTTTTATAGATTTTGGAAATCTAAGTGCTACATTATTCCTACAATGCACATTACATTAATGTACAAACAACTTTATGATTAAATATATAAAGACTGCCAAAGTCTTTTAAAGCTATAAGAATCAGTTGGTGTACAAATTTCAATCACAGAGAGATCATAAAAGCCAAATATTTTAAATGCATAAGGTCTTGAATGGAAAGATATTTTACTTAGCTTGAATTTAACTATCACATATTACTGACCTAACTAACAACCAGAACCTAGATGCTTAAAATATTTGGGCATCTAGATCCTACTGGAATAAAAGGTATTAGACTCGTAGAAAAGAATCTGGCAGCTAAAATATTTTGGAGGGTCTGCTCTCAAGTTCTGGTGCTGAATAGTACTACATCACCAAATTGAATAGGTCAGCTCAGAATACTATTCATAGCACTCATTTCATCCTTATGTTGGGATGGAAAAATCTACTGCCAAATGTTCAGAGGTCTATATTCTTCTTCTCTTTTGTCAGTAAGTAATACATTCAGCTAGGCACCATTAGTTCTGGAGGCATACTTCCAAAATAAGAGAATCTTAGCAGAAAGAGACAATCGGACGCAGAAAAACTTGGCCCATCATGTGGAAATCTTTCCCCTCAGGAGTTGACACAGCGCGACTTGAAAACCCCAGAAAACTGGTGGACACTTTGCTTCGATATTCACAAAACTGAAATAATTCCTATTCAGATGATGTAGATTTCACCTAAATCCTTAACCTGAATGTTTGTGTTCAACTAGGCACACGTGAATTCTGCTGACATCCAATAAAAAACATGAAGCCCATGTGGGAATGCAGATAGCTGAATAAACTCCCTCTGTTGCCATTTTTACACAAAACATTAATAGTGAAGGATTCAATTGGGTTCAGTTTCACCTGAAATCACAGCAAGGCAAATTAAAGCAAAAATATTTACCTATTACCCAAGAAATAATGAGCATCTCCATCCATGAGAAACAGGATGTTTTCATCCTAAACAGCTGTTTTACATTGTCTGTTGTTTCATTAGGTCGGAGTTTGGTGCCATCAAACCTGTCAGCTGCATTCATGACAAGCAGACCAAGAAAAATGGTGAAAGAGGCTGCATGGGCTACAAACTTCATAAATGGTCCACGCATTATCCTCCCCAGCTGCAACAGAGATTATGAAACACAAGGATATTGCATTGGCTTCTTCCAAAACAAAAATATATAGAAAGAACAGTAACACAGATAATCATATATTTCACTAATACAACAGAACAAATATTCGGAAAATGTTGTATACTATGATGCCATGTTGACAGTTGTCTTTAGGAGTTTCTACTGATTTGCTATTTTCAGAGGAATAATCTATCAGTTTCATTGATGTTCTATCTGTATTTTTAACTCAGTTATTTGAATAATTCCATAATTATTTTGGGGCATCTATGTCTATTATAGATAATCAAGAGAAAAATCTATTATAGTTGTTGAATTTTTTACATGCCAGTCATCTTTATGAGGCAAGAAAGAAAATAAGATTTTAACACTTACTAAAAGCATTAAATTATCACCATGAGTGAATTATGACCAAAGAATTGCATTTCCTGACTGACATGAATCTAATAAAGTTATTGTGCAGTTTTCTTAACTTCTTTTCTTTTTTTAAAAAAAAGTAATGAGGCCTCATAAGGTTATGTTCATAGTTCTACAGAGTCTTAATTTCCTCCTGACTACTTCAGTGGAAAAGTACTCAGCTTTGTCATGACTAAGAACAACTTTGAAATGGTTTAGCACAACATTTAAAAACCCTAAAAGTTCCATACAAACTCAAACAAGATTGAACTTTTAACGATTATTTACTTTATTTTTGAAAGTGCCTGTATTAATATCAAAAGCCTTAGCTTGTCCACATAGTTGGCAGCTGCAGAAAAATACTTTTTAATTTTAGGCTAAGACCATGTTTGTATCTGACAAAAATTGCTTGGAAATAATTGAAAGCAAGTGTCACGGATCTCAGCTAAAACATACAACAATCTGTGTCTGGAATGGAAAACAGAAAGGTATGTCATTGATATTCATATTTTTGGTACAGAAAGTCAGAATTTTGCTGCCCCTACAGTCATCTTTTACAGAAACACAGAATAAGAGGATGGAGCCAAGGATGCAATGTTAAGGTCTCAAATACAGATCACATTTAGAAAACTAGACAAATATAAATATAAGATACTGTTAAAGGAACACTGTCAAGGTTAGCAGGCACAAAGTTTGGTCTTCTTTCTCCTTTATATTACTTTTCAAATCCATATCATTCATTACATTTCTCACTCAACAGAATTCATTTCTCTTTTATTAAATAAAATAGTCTGTCAGCCTCATGAGATGAACTTCAACAACCAATTATTTTGCATGAACTACAAAGAGAACAGGCAATCATCACGTGGAAAGATTTTATTTCAAACTAGGAAGGAACAGTCATAAACAACACACAACAAAGCAGAGCTGGAAAATTATAAAGTACCTTGACAGTGTCCTTTTAAACGCATTATTCTTGTATTCACAAACGAAGATGGGTTAGGTGAGAGTTGCCAGAGAAAGAGACATAGCCAGAAAAGAAGAAAAAACACTGAAGGAGGTAATGTTATACATCCCTTGATCAAGAAAGATAAAATTAAAGAGATTGAACTCCTAGCACCCTGCCTCCCAGCCCTTCAAAGGAAACAGAAAAGTAATTTATATATAGCAAATATATATAGCAAATTCTCCCTGGAAGCAGGATTTTGGTTGAACTGATTACAAAACCACTGGAAGTTATTATGACACTGCCATATGGCAGTGATCCAAAAAAATCTTGAAATTACACTTCTAAAATTCTGCATCTCTTTATGGAGAAGATATAGGTCAGAAAATGTGAATCAGGGAGAAAAAAAAACCCCAGCATGTAAAGACAAGGCCATAATCCTGCAACTCTGGACTTTTCCATAAGCTACAGCCTCTCCTAAATACACTTTCACTGTGATTTTGACATAATAAATTCCCTCCGACTGCACAGACCAAGGACATGATCTTCTAAATGCTCTGAATCTCTGTGTTTTAAATAGCTTGGGGCTTTGGTTTGGGTTCTTTTCCAGATTCTGATCCTCTGTGCTATGCTTTTTGGTTTGCAATGGAGTTTTGGAGAGTATTTTAGATGCTGGTTTGGGTTAGGACAAGATACACAATGGTTACATGGTGGACACTTTGACATGTGTTTATCTGTATATCGGGTCACCTGAAATTGGTGGTGTCTGGAGTCAGTGATTCATATTATTCTCCCCTTGTGACCCTGCAGAAACAATTACTCTTGCAACATTATGGAGCATGGCATTGATATAGAAATTATAAAATAGGACTCCAGGTACCATATCTATCACAAAGGAGGAAAGGCCTGAACCCAAAAAAAAAAAAAAAAAGAATAATGCGTATACTTTTTTAGGAACAAAATTTTTCCAGCTTCTCATATACTGGACACAGTGTTCAACTTCTTTTCCTCTACCACAATTCAAAAGAGGAATTTGTATAACCCTCAGAACATGCTTCTAGAAAGCATGTGGGGTTTTTTCAAATTACTTTTCCAGAAATGCCAACCTCAGGTGGCTGGGAACTGCAAAAGACAACCCAGTTTCAAATTCAGATCCCTCATCTTGGCCAGAGGCTGACTGAATTACTTGTGAATTCATAACACTCAAAATCTAAATTCTATTACTAATTAGAGCTGAAGAGCAGAGACATTAGCAATTCTTGCAGACAACTGGAAAAGTTTTTACTCTTTCATATCATGTAATTAAATACTATTCTAGAACTTCTGGGTTAATGATGTCAGTATTTACACTGAATTAACAATCATAAAAGCAGAGCAAACAGTTCACAAAGTTTTGACATGCCTCTGTGTGGACTGATGGCTGAAATTCAAGACAATCTTAATTCCTTTTGGCACCTGATAGTAGTGAATTCCTGATGAATCAACAGGACTGTCCACACATTTCTATGAAATTCCTTTCAGATCTGAAACCTTCAATTCAGTATCTAGTTGAAACTCAAATGAGCTTTTTCCTAAAGAGGAAACTGGCCAGCAATACAGGTAACTGGCGGAGATGTTGCAAATGTCATAAAGGCATTTTTGCCTTTCTCAGAGCCTTAGCATGAGAATATAAAGAAATGTGCATAACAACTCCATGGCAAGCTGCTATTTTCACCACAAATACTGGGAACATTTTCTTGCTCTTCTGTCACTGCACTATATAGTACCAAACAGGGAAAAAGAATGGGTACTTTATCTCAGTAGGAGGAGAAGACACCTATAAAATTCCATCAATTCATACACAGAATGGACTCTGTTGATGCAGATCATGTTCTATATTGGAGCCATCCTATCTTGAGATTAAACAGTGAATATTTTTGCCTTCAAAAACAAGAATCAAATTTTGAAGTATGAGCAAAGCATACTGTATGAACTGGCAATCGGTGAAAAAGGAGGATTAGATTTTATATTTGAAGAACACAATGAAACAAAAAGCATTCAACACCTAAATCACACAATGAATCGAATAAATAGTGACAGAAGTACAACCTTAAACAATATTGTTACTAGTATCTTGACTTTAAAAACCTACTCTGAAATACATTTTTCAGAATGTACAATTGTTCAAATTTAGTTTAAGATCCAATAAGTCATTGAAAAGGGAAAATGAGAAATAGATAAGTCACTGCTATAGTAGAAAACCAATTACTGAAGTGTGTTGAATCTCAAGGCATGTTTCAAGACAAAAGTATTCATAAAACCACTAGTCACTATACAGAAAAGTGAAAATAATATAACTGTCTTTTATTGCCAGACTGAAAGAAATGAAAAATATCACAAACCCAAAAAAGGCCCACCTTTCTTCTCTCAGAGAACCTCACAAAAACCTCAGTCCTCTCTTTCAAGCTTCCTCTTCCCCTGAAATCATTGTACCTGCTAGAATTGTGGCTCTTATACTGCAACATGTTGAATAACCCTTAGAGGATGCCGGGTTTTCCCTATTGTACTTTTAAGGGAAAATTTCCATCAGCGTCCATTCAAAATGGATAGTGACCAACTAATACAGAGATTCAACACAAAATTCACTGAGGTCAGAGATTGTAAACCATCTTTATTGGAAAGGCTTTCCACCATCCAAACCAAATATATCAGTAGCATCCAAATCCAGGCAGTGCATTGCAAATGATGCAGAGAAGGTTGCATAACTGCTTTGAAGACCTCATGAAATATGATGAATATTAGCACTGCCTTGACAAGGTAACACAGCTAATTTTGACTTCTGGAAAACTGATGATTGTTTTAGTTTCTGGCATTCATATTTCATTGACTTTCATCTATTAATTTTTAATCATGAAAAATAAAATTGTCTTTTAGGTAATTGCAATCAACCCACAGCTTTAACAGTCTGTTTCTGAATCAATGGAAAATTAGTATCCTCTGTATCTGCTTACTATGCCAAGAACTAATGAAAAACAGTTTGACACACTGTTTGTAAAGCAGGATTTCTACAAGGCAACTCTTGCTAAACCGTTGTAACTTAATTTAATATACATTGCATTTAACACAACACATTAACCTGTTGTACTTACAATTGTCTGAACACACAATCTTGCAGAAATTCCATTCTAATTTGGCTTTGCAATAACATGTTTATGATGCATTATTTAAGCCTGTCTTTGTCAGACAGGAATCTATGTACAGATGACACAGGAGTTAATAAAAGGCCATTATGAGATTTCACAGACTGACCTTACTGCAAGGAGCAATCCAGTAAGCCATTGAAAGGAAAGGCAGCCCTACTGCAACAGCAAGAACAACCAGAAACTTCACTGCCATGGTCTGTTGCCGTAAACCTGACAAATTCTCATACCAGATTGAGAGAAGTTGTTGCTGGCAGTTTGGATGTGCTACAAACTGTAATAAAGAAAAAGAGCACAAAAATAATAATGCTGTCAGAATAACTTCTATTAAAATGCTGTTATATGAAGGACATTAAAAATGCTGAAATAGCAACAACTCAGCTTATATTCAAAAGAGCATTAATGAGGGCATAAGAAAAACTATTTTGATAAGCCAAATCACCCAGCATGCAGGCCTGTTCCCATCAGCAACAATAAATACTTTAATTAAAAAAACTGTTATTTATTGACACTGTGTTCCATCACAAATTATTAATTTCATCTAAGGCAAATTAAACAAACTTATCTGGGCAAACTCTGTATGTTTCTCACATTTATAATTTTAATTTTACTGTTTCAGAAATTAAAGTCTTTTTGTTTTGTGAAGAATGCTATATAATCTTCAGTTATGAAAGAGTATGTCATATTTTCACATGCTAACATGGAAAAATCCATTTTTCTCAGCTGGCATAAGTTGTCATATTTGCAGGAATAAGGACTATTTGCATAAGGACATTGTGCAAAAGGGCCAGAAAGTTCATTTAAAGTGTCATAGCCTACCAAAACGTAAGTATTTAATACTGGCACAATTTAATACCACTATCATGACATGCCTGTTTGATCAACATAATTGCTTACTTTTTTAACTTCATACTTAATGGCGAGTTTTAAGCGGCTAAGGCTGGGGCGACCGTGTTCTCCGTGGCTCATCTCTACATCACCATTCAAAATAGCTTCCACTTCTTCTGTATTTCTGCACAAATCAAGGAGTCCAACTACAAAATCTTTACATTGCATAGACAGTTTCTTGTAATCATTCTAGAAAAGAGAAGAAGAAAGAAACATGCTGTTTAGTTCCAACACTAGAGAAATAGTTATACATCCCAGTTATATTTCTGTGAATATAAATAGTTTCTTTGCATCTTGTAATGCTTTTTTCTTCCCCTGAATGTTCAAAGCGGGATTCATCTCACCTTGGTTACCTTGGAGATTTACATTATCAGTTTTTACACCTGAGTTTCTTCTCTAGACTTGCTTTAGAGGGAATTGAAAGTTAAAAAAAAAAGCACATTCAGAAACGTTGTAGGACATATTTTAATGACCAGTTCAAGTTGAGATGAATAGCACAGAGGAAATTTTTCTATTCACTCTCACAGAAGTCTAGGCAACTAGCTTAGATGTAGAAAATTGCAGTGCAGAGATTTCAATTGGACAAGATGAGTATCTTCCACAGAACATGTCTAAACCAATTCCGAGCCTTCTTGAGAATTGCATAAATATGCTGAATTTTCCTAGGCCTTGAATTATCTTTCTCATTTTCCAACATCTATTTTAGCACGTAAACACAAGATCTGATAGCAGTGCTCCTCCAACACTCTCAGCAGTGCTGCAGACAGTGGGGTGATACTACATTTCTAACCGCCTCGGTACTCTCTAGCTCAAATATCTCAGAACAGACTTCACCCTGTGAGCCAAAATGTTGCTCTACAACTGCAGGTTAAGTTGCTTATTGCTTTAACTACCAAGTGTTCTTCTCAGTCACTGTCTTCCAAAAGCTGTAAGTCTACATAAGAAGGTCTTTTGATCATTGCAATCCAGTGTTCATGAACCACTCCTTACATGCAGCTGTGTTTGGGTGATAAAAGATGAAGACAGCTAGAGAGTCAGGGAGTTGGATATATATGTATATCTAAAGCTAAAAAAAAAATCTTACAAGAGATTTAGTTATGCAGGTGTCAACAACTTCCGCTATTTTTGTGATCTCTGCTGATTTTTATGTATCAAAAAGATGAAATTACTGCAGAATTTTTCCTAAACAAAACAAATAAAAAGTGCTCCAACCATCCCACACCATAGAGGACTGCTCATGTAGTCTCTATTGCATGTTCAAAGTGGTCTGCTACAAATGCTTATGTTACAGTGACACATTTTTCCCCTCTTCCAGTCTGTTTTTCATAGCATTCCCCCTTCTCCTACTCTTAGTTGCTGTTTAATCCCTTCTTTTTAATTACTTCCTTCATACTAACTGCCATCTAATGCATCTGATGCTTCATCCTGGAAGAGAAACCATTATATTGAGTATACAGGATGCCCTAATTTATTTGCCATGGTTGTACTTCATGCATCTTTGTGTTTTATTATCCACAACACCACAATAACAGTTTATTACTTGGATATATTAAAGGATTGTAACCAAGCTTTACACTTCACTTTACCTAGATGGATGAAAACATTCACAGACAAATAGTTACAGACACTACTGTACACCTACATATTACTGCTAGTGATTTATTTTTTTAATTAAGTAACATAAACAAGATAGCTCAGATCTGTCACAAAAGAGAAAGGAACTGCAATGTCATTTATCTACAAAGACAACAGAAACTAAACACTAAAATTAAACATTTCCTGTCATGCTCTGTATTTTATTATTGTGTTATTTATTTTCCCTTTCTTAAGAAGAATAACAAGATGACCCATTGTGGTCCCTTCCAGCCTAACTGATTCTGTGATTCTGTAATTAGTATGTGTATATCTTCTGGCAGGAGATACATGCATTTCTGCACACACACTCTTCATCAGTATTTTCCAGCTCAAGTGACTGAGACCTGCCATGGAGTTTCAAAACAGTAGCTGAGGAGACCATTACTCCATAGGGGACTCCAATGACTTTGGGTAGTCTCAAAACAGAAATTGTATGTGATAATTTATTCTAATGAATAACATGATGTTTTTCCTGAGTGTAGTCCTATTTACCAAAATGAATACTGAACATGCACTTTTTAATAGAGCCACATTCCCCATTCACACTTAGCAGAATTATCCCTTCTGAATTTAGGTTTGCATACAGTATATATTAGCACCCAGTAAATTCACCCATAAACTCCAACAGTTCATTTTCTCATTTGCAAGTGCAATAAAACAGCTTCTCCTCCTGTGAAATACTGCCACAGCTGTGATCAGGGGTGTTAGCTGAGCTGAAATGTCCTCTACAGACAGGTTACAACAAACAAGCTTATGGGTATTAAACAGTGTCCTTCACTGCTCCACCTCAGCTGTGGTACAGGACAGCAGTAACACAGCAGAATCAGTTGAAGGCAGAGCACGTCCCTGCTCCAGTTCACAGCTTGCTGTTTTGAGACCTATTTCCTTATGAAGAACTTATGATTTCAGAGAAGGTTATGGAGGACAGATGGGACAATAATGTCTTAAACTGCTACGGGAAGATTTGTCAGGGTATGAACACAAGACAGGTTGTCCTAATTGGGCTAGTCTGTTTCTAAGAATTCAAGAGTGTTAACTTGCAGAGGCCACTGCACGGGCTGCCTTTTGCCCCTTGTCTCCTTGGTCCACTTATATATGTAATGACAACTAAAATGATTAATACACTCTTCAGTGTCTCTTTGTCATTCATGCACAAAAAGTTCTCCCTCCTCAAGCCTCACATGTGAGACCATTAATGTGATCCAAGGGAACGCGGCAATTTGTTTGGCTTATTTTTGAAAACGGCCAAAGGCACGGATAATTCCACAAGTTACTGCAAATTGTCAATTTAGTGAATTAAAATAAGCATTCCTGGGAGACCTGGGAAGGTAGTTGGAAATTAAATTACAGTTGGAGGCTCTAAGAACCAGCCCTAAATTCTGCAATTAAAGCATGTGTGCTTTATTTTATGCATGTGACAACATTGGCTCAGAGCTCCTCAGCAGTTTAGTAAAAAAATAAATTTTGCCACACCAAGGATGAGTAGGTAGCACCAGCTGCTCCCACCTTGCAAAAGGAAGGTAGTGATTTGGGGTGAGCATTGTGGGGATGAGGAAGCAGGGGAACAAGATGCTGGTGGCAGGGGAATGACAAGAGTGGTGAGTGTGACAGTGGCTGCTGCTGAGAAGTCACCTGCCCTTAGTGGTAGAGGCAGCTGCAGACTGCCTTGGTGTCTCAAGTAAGGGAGCAAGCAGGCTACAGACACTCTCAAAACCTCAGGTGACCATGCTTTGCCTTACCTCTAACTGTCTAGCAGCAGAGCATGGCCAGGAGAGCATCACCACAACTGTTTGTCCCAGAAGAATGGGTCCTTCAAGCTGCTGAGAAGTCACCTGCCCTTAGTGGTAGAGGCAGCTGCAGACTGCCTTGGTGTCTCAAGTAAGGGAGCAAGCAGGCTACAGACACTCTCAAAACCTCAGGTGACCATGCTTTGCCTTACCTCTAACTGTCTAGCAGCAGAGCATGGCCAGGAGAGCATCACCACAACTGTTTGTCCCAGAAGAATGGGTCCTTCAAGCAGTGTCCTGTGACACAGATTCCTTCCTGCTGTCCTTACTGTGCCCGGGATGAGAATGCTCTGAGGATGCAGGCTGACACTGAACTCCACAGACATGATGGAGCAGTGCTCCAGACCATATCCTGGCCCTGCACAGTGAATTGTAGGTGGCAAGATCAGAAATGTGGACACTGCTACACTAGGACTTAGGATTTCAAAGTGTCTTGGGATTGTAAGTGGAACATAATGTCAGATTTAGGCATCTTAGTAGGTAGCTAAACACATTTCCCTTACAAAGGTGGCCCTTATTCCTTCAGTGTTTCAGTCCTTCCTGTCTAACAGGTGATGTTACCTTTCTTTAAGAAAGCTGACAATAGCTGTAATGATGATTGATCCAATTTCTGTAATGAGGATTGTATAAATGAAAAAACCCCAGAAGATCAGACTTTGAGATGATAAATTGAATTTTGCTCCTCAGCAGAAAAGCAAACTCAGACAACCTTATTAGAGGGATTAATTTACAGCAGTCACATATCAACATTTAACTTAAAAATACATTTTTCACTCCATCCCATTAAACAATAAACCAGTCTGTTACCATTACAGTTGCAGTAGACTTTGTACTAAATGCAAATCTTATCCACTTTAAACAGCACTGGGTCACAACTGTCCCTCTCAAAACTCCATGCCACATCTCTGCAGGACAACATTTGTCACATACCACCTACATCTTTATGGACATAGTAGAGATATTAGCTCTAGGGTGGGAAAACAATTGAGATGATAGAAAACATGAGCATAAGCTCTGAAAATAAAAATATTCTATATAATATCAAACCTTGTAAATCTTCACACTTAGCCATATCCTGCACCTAGGTCAGGGCAATCCCAAACACAAGTACAGGCTTCCCAGAGAATGGATCAAGAATAACCAGGGGAGGGCTGGAGGCATTTGTGGATGAAAAGCTCAACAAGACCCAGGAACGTGCACTTGCTACCTTGAGAGCCAACCGTGTCCTGGGCTGCATCAAAAGCAGCATGGCCAGCAAGCTGAAGAAGGTGATTCTCCCTTCTACTCTGCTGTTGTGAGACCCCACCTGGAGTGCTGGGTCCAGAAGAAAGAGGCTGACCTGTTGAAGTGCGTTCACAGGAGGATCACTAAGTTGATCAGAGGGCTGGAGCACCTCTCCTATCAAGACAGGCTGAAAGACTTGAGGCAGTTCAGCCTGGAGAACAGAAGGCTCCAGGGAGACCTTATAGCGCTTTCCCATACCTAAAGGCCTTACAAGAACATTGGAGAGGGACTTTTCACAAGGGCATGTAGTGATAGGATAAGGGGCAACAGCTGGAAGCTGAATGAGGGTACATTTAGATCAGACATTTGTAAACCATTCTTTACTATAAGAGTGGTGAGGCACTGGAGCAACTTGTCCAGAGAGGATTTCCCATCCCTGGAGATGTTCAGGACCAGGTTGGATGGGGCTCTGAGCACCCTGTGCTAGTGGAAGGTTCCCTGCCCTTAGCAGGGGGGTTGGAACTAGATGATTTTTAAGCTTCCTTCCAACCCAAACTATTCTATGATACAGAACTAAACTGAATGGTGTTCAGAACATCCTGAAGATCTCAGAATTATTCACGAAGCCTGAATTAACTGTTTGTTAGGTACAGAAGTATTCCTACACTATGCTTGACACATCTTTCCTGGTTTTACTCCTAATAGAGAATGTTCCTACAAAACATTCATTTGCAATGAAATGCAAAAGGCATGTAAAGCTAGATGACATCACTGTACGAAAGGAGTTTATTCCAGAGAATAGTGGTTTCCACTGATTATGAAATTTCCTATTTTGTGTGAATCCAAGTTTCATGCTCACAGTGTTCTCTCCTTCTCCGTAACATTAGGAGAGAAAAGTAATTTATAAGATAGTCATAAAACAACCAGCATGACAGTTTAGCGGTGACCCTTTCTATTGCCCCTGAGGAAAACCTGGGCATTACCTGTGCCACTGATTACTGTAGGCACCCACTTGAAAGTTCCCCTGCAACAATTCCCCATCAGCACTATAAAATAGGTGACTTTTAAAACAACGTATTACCAGAAAGTTCAATTTCCATTTCCGTAAGGTCTGAAATACATTAAACATCTCAGGCAAACCCTAGGTGGAGCTAAAGATTTGCCATGTCCAGCTAATCTATGCACTAAAAATATGCTTGTTTTGATTACACTAAGACATGAAACACATTTTTCCCAAACCAACATTTTTAATCAGTGACTACACTATCCAAGTAATTGTAGCAAACTCCTGAAAAAAAATAAGGGCAACAATTTTTAGACAAATTGCTGCAAGCAAGGATATGAGATTGCAGGAGCACAAACAAGCCCGGACTGAGTAAAGCTGACAGCAACCATTTCCCATAACTTGTATACACACTTATACTACCTCCACTGAACCTAAGCCAGGTATTTCTCAGTCAAGCCTTCAGCCTGCCTAGATATTGTAAAGGTTAATCACTTATCAATAGTGTAAACATTAACTCTCATCAGTGCATGGTTAAATGTATCCCATGGTCTTTAATATTTACTCAGAACCAAGATTCAATTTTAGTATCTATAAAAACATTCCCAAAAGACCTTATGTTGCCAGTTGCTTGCTCCTGGTGAAACTTTAAATTAAAGAAGAGTTAAATTTCCATGTGGCCTTGTGCTCCTGCTCCTCACTATTCCTATTCACCTCCACTCTACACAAAGAGTATGTATGTTCCTAGCAGAGCCTGAGCTGATTGATGCCCAGCAATATGGAGCTGCTCTTTCTCTCACCCTGTTTCTGCTGAGGGACAATATCTCAAAATCTCTGTTGAAGTGCTTTATGCAACATTACATTAGAAGTGAAACTCTAATTTTAGAGAAGACAATTGAGCCAAAAGAGGAACTAGAAAAACAGAAGTCACTGAGGAAGGACTTTGTCACTGCACTTCAGAGCAGGATGCAGAAGCTTGGTCTGTGACCCAGCCCACCTATTCTCACCTGCATGCTCCATTCCTTGCCTGGTGGTACCAGGGACAAATACTGCACTCCCAGTTAATTTCACTGTCTACTATGGCATACATTTGAAGGACGTTTTATTGCTGACTGTTCCAGATGATGATTTTATTTATCTTTATAATAATCTTAGCTCGTGTCACTCCAACTGTGGTAAAGGGAGCCATGCAGTCCCTACAAATCAGAAATGGTATTTATCTCAGCATAGCTGTGAACTTAACAGGCTGCATTTATGATGTATGAAAAATTGTTTTCTTTTCTGTTCGAAATTTACTCCTCTTTCAGTTAATCAACTCCTTTTGTTCCCATCAGCAGCTGCTAAAGAAATGAGTGTGTGTTTTAAATACTCTTCTCTGAACTGTACATGAAAGCAGTGGGTCAAAGGGGCTGGATGAGATGATCTTTGAGGCCTTTTCCAGCCCAGTTGATTCTATGATTCTGTGAAATATCAGACCACTGAGGTCCTAAGGATTTCTGCCAGGGACTTCATAGGGCAGATATGCATCTTCTGCCTTTAAGCTGAGATGGTCCTCTCAGCATTTTGTCTTATTGATATAAACTAAAATTCTCCTCTGCTACAATCTTGGCTATTTAGCAGCTGGTTTTAAGATCACCTTGCACATTCCTCTTCATTTTTCCTCTCCAAGAAATATTTCAGCTCCTTACAACAGATTGGTGCCACAAAGATACACCTATAAGCATGAGTCAGGAGTCATTCATTCAGAACTGCAGCATCTCAGCTCAGGCTGGCTGAGTAGAGACAGGTTCATGGCCTTGTGAACTGTGCCACTGCTAAGATTAACATTAAATATTGATCATGACAACTTAAAACTCTTCCTAACTCAATGTCAGAAATAGTTCTATTACTGCTTTGGAGGTGGTTTGATCTCATGCTAGTGATGCTCACATAACTTGCTCTATCACAGTAGCATTTACTTTCAACAGGGTGCCATAAGGCACACCAAGTCTACGGGATTTGGTTAACCCAAGTTACAATTAATACTGGCAATGTTTACACAAGGGTTGAATTTGCATTTTTTGAGAGAAAAAGGCTTACATTCTTACTGTCTTAACAAAAATATACTATTATAAGTATTTCTGTAGGTTGTGCTCCTTTGTATCTATGTAACAAAAGAAAACAAAGAACATTCATGCTTCAAGGACCTATGAGGCCTGGGTGTCGACTATTAATTTTTATTTTTTCAAAATCATGCATTTGTGAAATATTAACAATTCTGTTTGACACTGAAAATGTCTTCAGCTTCACAGAGTTCACATATAACTAAGTACAAATAAGTGAAAAAGAGGAAGAGGTGAATAGAAATACCAGAAAAAACGCAGCACATTAAAAAAGGAGAAGGACATTTATTTAGAGTCCTTTCTGTGAATACATTGTGAGGAGTGAGAAAGCTTCTAGTCTAACTATGAAAAAATAATGAGAATGTGTGACGGTTTAATAGAATCATGCAATTTGTCTTGCCATAAGTGACCAAACAATGCCACTGTAGTCTCCCTCTTCTCCTGCCCTAAACCAGCTTCAGCCACGGGTTTGAAGGGCCTCCTTTACTATCCTGTCTGATAGGAAGTAGAAATTTAGTTCACTGGCACATTCATAAGCAGCGTGAATTACAATTAGCACACAGCAATGAGACATTTCCACAGATTTAAATCTTCTGTTAAACAATTATACAATTATTATATTATTATTATTGTATTTTTTACCACATGATCCTGCTGATTTATGAGATGATGCTGATCTCTTACTGCTCAAGGAATGGGAGAAAAACCTTTGATTTAACCTGCAATTTTGTGTCTGTCAGAATCAGTATCCATCTACTCACCTTGAACTCTTTTTCAATGTTGGCAAGCACAGCCAGCTCATTGCTGAGCTCTAAGGCAGTCATTACAGGGTCTTCACTGGACAAAGACAGATAAGCAGGGCTGGCCAGACCCTTGTAGGCATTGATTCTGGATCTAGAATGGCTGAAAGAATCATGCTTTTGTTTCTGATTGCATTCACTGCACTTGCAGAAATAGTCATGTGGCCTATCAATCCGAGCTCCTTTTCTCAGCAGAGTGTGGACAATCTCATACTCATGGCAGTGAGCAGCCAGAATGATTGGTGTAACATCATGGGAAAACCGTGTGCCATCTTCATCATATGCATAGAAGTCATCGTGCTGGAGCTCTGACTGGCTAGGGCTCAATGCAAGCCTCTTGCCTTCAGCAAATGCAGGATGATTTAGGATGGCTTCCACTATCCGAACGTAACCTTTGCTAATAGCCAAAAGCAAGGCATCCCCCACCCGAGACAGGTTCTCCTTCTTCAGCAGAAGTTCTGTGATCTCCAGGTGCTCATTGGCAACTGCCAGCTGCAAGGCATTCTGTCCCATGTAGTCCACACAGTTCACATTGAGTGAGGGACATTCTTCCAGCATTTTGCGAACCACTGGAATATTTCCATATTCTGCTGCATCCAGGAAGCGTTCCTCCTCAAGAGAAAGACTTGTTGAGTGGTCATTAAACATGTATGCTGGCCCTCGACTGGCCTGCCTCCTCCCCTTCTCCCGGAGAATGGTCTGTCGTCGTAGTGCTACCCTGTTCTCGTTGCCTCTGCTGTGTGGAAATAGAGAAATTATTAGTTCTGTTTTATGCAAGGGCATATCCATTTCAAACAATAATTAATAAAAATATCTTAATCCTTTATGCTGCTTATTTTTAATGCAGCAGGGAGATCAGAAACCCTGACTTTGATGTACTTTGTAACCACTGTCATGACACAGTCCTGGAATCAGTGGCCAGCTACATTTTATTTTTACAAGAAAGAAAAGCCCTAATCAATCATCATTTAAGACTACATTTTTTTCCTTATTTTGGCCTCACAGCTCAGAGTGAAACAAGTCCCAGTGTGAAAGGAGTCAGCAGTCATAGGATGAGGAACGAGGGATTGCTCAGGACAGCAGGGCACACAAACATGGAAAATCTCTCAATTCCCTTCTGCTTCAGAAAAGCAGGCAGACTGACTTCACTTGCTGATATTATTCCTACTCCTATCTCTACTTCAGCAACTATCTAACTTGCATTTTGGCTCTGGTTTCTCCTCGTCATCCTACTGATGTTTTTCTGACATCTGTAATTGAATGCTCAGTCATAAATTGAATCTGGACAAGATAAAAGCGTATCAACTACATTGTATGACATCTCTTACTCCCCATCTCCACCCTCCTTTTCATTACTACAGTTCATAACCTTGATATCCTGTTTATTTTTTCACTCAGTGATTTGCCAACAAAACCTGCCAATTCTTGATTCATAATAGCTCTGAAAGGTTGTCCAGTCTGCTACTACTGAAATCCTCAGCCATTTCTAACCTCTTGCAGTACTTATGAATTACTTCATTAATAATGATTTAATGATTAAAACATAAAGTGATCCATATCAAAGTTAAGTTTGCAGAGGAATGCTACAAAATATGCTACATCCTCTTTAACAAGAAAATCTAATTCACAACTGTTATCAGTCAACTAAGATACCAATCCTCAATAGAGATTCAATTGCAAATAATTTTCTCTTCTAGAATTACTCTGCTAAACTACATAATATTCATCAGAATTTCATCTTTTTTCCTATTGAATAGTAGCTTAATGATTCTTTACATACATGTACTTAAATACACTTCAGTGTATTCAGTACTTTCCATAATAACCACAAGCAATATTTTATTTAGTAAATACTTACCAATGAATATGAATTTAAATTTCAATTAAAAAAAATTAGTCCTTTGTGACTCAAAATTTCTTCATAAAAACTAACATTACAAGATATTATTCATTCTAGATTGTTTATATTTAACTTCAGTGTAAATTTCCTATTTGCCTCTTGCCTTCTCATTTCAAGAGATACAGTCCTCTGTAGCACTGGAAATGCTTCAAATTGCCAAAATCTAAATACAAAAGGACAATTTTTTTCTGCAAGGTAGCAATAGTTATGGAATGTAGAATATATCACAATTGACAACTGTAACATTGTTCAGTGCATGGACAATACTAATACTGTGTTACAATGGCAAGTTTTCAGCCCTAGTTTGGACTATGTCTATCATTTCACGATACAGGATAAAGTTAGACCCCATCTTCTTCTGCTCCTCAAGATCTCTGCAAAGGCTGTCTCAGTTACTGTGGGTTCAGAGAATATGAGGGAGTATGGATATATGCTAATGCCTTCTGGGTCAATATGCTATATGGCTGGTTCAAATTTTTCTGTGCATATTTCCAGATATTTTACAAACATATGTTTATAATTGTTGCAAAGACAACATTTGGAGAGGTTTCATGAAAACTAAAACAACGAAAATTTTGACGGCATTCATGACAATATTGGTGCCAAAACCTGAAATTCACTAAATAGAAGACAACCTTCTGATATATCTACAAGTGTTTCATTGGAACTGTGTGTGCTTAATTGGAACAGGGATGAAATGGTAGAAAAAACAGATCACAGCAGAGAATCAGACATCAGATTCCAGTTTTGAAAGTTATGCCTTAAAGGACTGCAACATTCTTTGTGCACAGAATACGAGAGTGCACTGGTGAGGTGAAAATCAACTGGGAGTCCAGAACAAGAAGGAAGTTAAAGACAAGAAGGTGTGAGGAGTGGGAGAATGAGAGAGAAAAGAGTGTAAGAGGAAATTTTAAAACCTGATGGGCTTTAATATTTGTGCACTGAGCGACTCTTAAGAAATGACCACAGTAAGATGACAGGGAGAAAACTTCCTTAACTTCCAGAAGAGAGACAGTACTCAAAAACTAAAGGACTTAAATACCCCAATTAAGTTAATCCTAGAGTCAAGGTCTTTAATCAGTCTGTAAATTTCTTGAATTTCATAGTTTCCTGGAAAAAAAAAAGGCTCAGTGTAACAGATATAAAATTTTGAGGACAACCATTAGTTGATGCTGATTCTGATCAGAACTGATATTCTTTCATCATTGCCTTTGCTTACTCAAATTGTGCAAGGCTTGGAAAAAATTCATTTTCATAGTCAAATTAATTAGAGCTAAAGTAAAGACAAACAATGCATAGTGTAGTTATGTGTCTTGTACATGTATGCTGCTACATGGTTTTATTTTAGAGCTTAATTGATAAACATTTACGTTTCTCTAGTGCAGAAGAGCAAATTGATAAAATGATACAAAAACTTTGTACTGCTTTTAAGACTTTCAACAAGTGTGATGTCACAGGAATACACTGAATTGTGGAAACATAGCAAGCTTACAAGATTCAGTACATGTATATGGGAAAACTAGGATAAATATAAAATAAAGAGCATACAGCTTTTTTTTCTGAGCCACATTTCCAGTTCACAGAATCTGTATTTATTACTAATAAAAAAGTTTGCTTTCCAAATTACTTTAAACATCGAACTAAATATTGCTGTGCTTGATTTAGATATTTTGTGTCGTGAATATTTTGTGAAAGAAGTGGAAATGCATTCCCACTGACAATATGGAAAAACTATTTATTAAAAGAATATCAGGTAATTGAATAGATTATTACATTTAATAGTTACATGTCGATAAAACTATGCTTGCATCATTTAGATAGCTTTGATATAAGACAAACTCTTATTTGACTTATATTTGACTTGTATTACATTTTCCTACTTCTTCAATACTAGAAACTATTACACTGTTTGGATCCCACGAGACTAAGCAAGTTTGTGTATCTATCTGCATGTCTATCTGCAAAGTCACTGTGCAATTCAGCTCTTGTCTTGACTAAAATCTCTTGTAATCAGATTTTTTCGGAATATAAGTTGCTCAGTTTATCTTTAAATATTTTTGTATCAAATGTAAGCACTATCACAATCATAAAAGTCAAGTTTTATTATTCAAATAAATGGTGCTTCTTTCCAGGGCTGTCTATGAACTCAGAGAACTCCAACTGAAACGCAATAGAAGGACATATTCTATAGCAGGTTAATCATGTGTCACATAAGTTTGAGTTCCCAGTCACATTCATGAAATTAAATTTAAAAATTCTATTAGATTCTGATCAATACTAAAGCTATGCAGTACTAAGCCCCTTGCAAAGTTCTTTGCTCAATAAAAGCCATTATAGGTGCTAGTATTTTCTCAGTGTGATTTTTGCAGCTGACTCAACTGGCAGCAGAAGCAGGAAATGAGTAAAGTAACCAGTGTCTATCATGTACTGATCTTTAATCCACTTCTTATATTTAGCAGAGGAAAGGCTTTGAAAGATGTGAATTAACAGAAGTGTGTCAGCATATCAGCTGCTACAAGTGTCCTTATCTGCGCTTCTACTAACTCTCATCATGGCTACTGCAATTTCCGTTTTCACGACCTCTTAAGACTCTAAGATGTAATGACTATCTTCCAACAAAAGTCACTGCAGTATCTCTTATCTTAGAATCCTCACAGCATTCATGCTTCCTCTACCTTATTTCACTCCAATTCATTCTAAAGACCCAAACCACATTTTAAGAGATACTTGTTGTTTTGCACCAACTGGTATCATGATTCCATATTCCATCAGTTTCTCTCCTATTCCTACCATATGCACTGTGACTGTACATGAAAGCTCTTCCTGCTAATATCTACTATTTAAAAAGTCATGCTGCAACTGCCCTCCTAGGTCCTTCTCAGCTTTTAATGCTTAGCTATGTGTCATAGCAGTTTCCAACTCCAAACAAACAGCATCACAAAAAATACAAGGCTTATATTAACAAAACAATATTAAGGTAGCTATTCATATAGATTCCAACACTGCTTCATATTGACATGAATCAGGGGACCATATATCACAACATCTTTATGTGTCCTGCAAAACTAATCCAGTATAAAATTATTTTTCTAGCATTTGATCCTTGATCAAGGAAACAAACCCTTCAACAGGATCTTGGTCAGTACTTTCTCCTGAGTTGTTAACAACTTCTGTGAACCAGCCAAAAACTGCAGTGCATTACACACTTTTTTCTTTCATTTTTCAGGTAACAGAAACACATTATATTTCTATTCTAGCAATACACAGAGTATGATTTATCAAAACAAAGAGTAATTATTTCTAGTGAAGAATGCTTAGAATTCTCTTCTTTGTCTAGTAGCACTTCCTCTTTCCTTGACTGCATTTAGAAGGAAATCACTGCTTAAATGGGAGATAAGTACACACATTCCTTAGACAGTAGCTCATCTTCTGGATTAGAACCTATTACAGACTGAAGTAGAAGACTTCTGCATTGTTTGCTGGATTGTAGCACATGTCTCATACAAACCTCTAGAATCTCAGAGCAATTAAGTTTTCCTGCATCTATATATTTTAGATGTATGAAATACAAATGGTTTGTCCATTTGCAATTGCAGTTACTTAATGGGTCTGTAATTTAAACTGGTTCTTGCAGCACAAGACTTTAAATATGATTAATTGTAATAAAGAAAGCTAATTTTTCTATTATTTCTGCTTAATTAGATGCTGGCAGTAAATATTAATTCAGAAGTTTGTTAAGAAACATATAAGATACTTGATTGCCTACAAGAGCAGGGAAAGGAATTCTATGGTCCAAAAGAGTATGTTCAGTCTTCCAAAGATTATGTATCAT